AGATGACGACTGACAGAACCCTTTCTACGATGGAACTTTCCTGTACGACTGAGAGCCTCCACAAGCAAGCTCACGGCATGAAACTAAGATTTAAAGGTGGAATTAACCTTGCAGCAGTGGTGTAGTGCATGTAGGACAATTGGTGCCGTTGTTAAATCCACCTTCTTTCACCTTAGACAGCTGGCCAAAGTAAAACCTCTCCTCTCTCATGAACACTTTGAGACAGTAATTCATGCCTTTGTCACATCCCGGCTCGATTACTGCAATGCCCTTTACTTTGGAGTCAACCAGTCCTCCATTAAGCGTCTCCAGCTGGTCCAGAATGCCGCTGCTCGCCTCTTGACCGGTACTCGTAAGAGGGAGCACATAACTCCTAATCTCTAAATAACCTTGCGCCACCTTACCTCTCTGAGCTCATCCGCCCCTACACACCTGCCCGGCGCCTCAGGTCTGCGGACCAGAAATTATTAGAAGTACCAAGAACTAAACTGAGGCTCAGAGGGGATCGAGCCTTTTCTGTTGCTGGTCCCTCTCTCTGGAATGACCTCCCACTGAACATTCGGCAAGCCTCCTCGCTGCCCATCTTCAAAACCCGCCTCAAAACTCACTTGTATTCTTTGGCATTTGACTCAGCATGACTTAGATTGTTCTTGGTTTTGCTGTTCGGTGCTTTCTACTGTTTTTATTACCGATTTGCTTTACTGTTTGTTGTATATGTTAAATTGCTCCATGTACAGCACCTTGTATGCAGCGATGGCTGTTTGAAAGTGCTCTATAAATACAGTTGAGTTGAGTTAGTTGAGTTGAGTTGAGTTGAGGACAGCTTAGACAGGAAGAGGTAATACTCGCTTGAGACTATTACAATACAATTGGCCGATGAGGTCAGGATCCTGTTCTTGTGTGTCTCCAGCAGGTGACGGTGGAGGGCTTTCCCTCCAGCATGCACTTCTGCTGCCAATTTGATCATCAATTTATGACAATTATTTAAGGAATTCCCAAGCGCTAATTCTTCATCGGATTATTGACCTCGTTGCTGCTCTTGCTCAAGTGTTGTTTTCTAGACCTCTTGATCTCATCATTGTTTTGCTCTCGAGTCTCTCGCCTTTTAAGTATTTACATGTATCTTATTTTGTCTTTGATCTTGCTCATGTTTTTGTTTCGTCTCGTGATTTTGTTTATATACTCAGATTTGCTATTTCCTTGCCTTTGCAAGGGTTTTTTTCAATGTATTGTTTTTCCTTGTTCTTTTTGACCAGCGATTTCTGTTTATTCTCTGTTGGTGCGCTTTTGTTATTAAATACATACATGATTTTTTTTTTAATGGATCTTGTTTGTGTCGATGTTTCCTCTTCCAGCTGGGTGCTTTAAAAAGGAGCAGGCTTGGCAAATGCGAACGAAGATTTAGCCCACCACTTGGGTTGGTGATGATTCGGGTGATGGACCCCTGCTATACAGGGGGTTTTATGCAGACACTCAACTCACTAACTCACATAGTTCAGTTCAATCACTGTATGTGAAAATGAATGGTTAGTAGCTATCAAATACCTTTTTTGAGGTGGTATCTTGCTTTGTAGAAGGAAAGTATTATTTAAAAAGAAAAAAGTAGTGTTAGAGTCAGTTGTGCTTAAACAATATAATTCCCTTTTATTCGCCATAATTTTGGAATTTTGATGAAGCTATCTTCAAATGTTGCTCGAATGAAAGTGATTTTTAAAAAAAAATGTATATTTTATTGTTCAAAAATTTGTCATATACTACCACATATAACAGAAAAAAGTACTGAAATTGGTACCGTTGAGTATCGGTTTTGATTCCCAAAGAATCAGAACAGACAGAATAGTTAGATTAATTAGAGCTGTTTCAATAGGAATAAAAATCAATAATCACCTGCATGAGTCGAGGCTGACCTCCTGCACTGAGAGGTCTGCAAGGGATCGTGGTCTTTTCCGCAACTCTCATCCATTTCTGTTTAGCAGATCCAACCATATCAAAAGTGCTGTCTTCCGATTCACTCTCCTGATCCTTGGTAGTAGAATTTTCCTCCTCAGGAATGTGAACTAATTGAGAAGATCCAGGACGAGACTGAATAACCATTCTTGGTCCAGCGGCAAAGCTAGTTCCTCCATTCTGGGTCAGGGTATTTTTATTGGCTATAGGAACACAGCTTGCAGCTATTTTTATGTAAGAGGTTGGGATGTGGGCTCCAACTTCCTGGCCAGTGGCTGAAGGGAGGTGGGTTAGACTGTGGACCTCAGTGTCCAAACCTATGGCAGATGATTCAGATGAGTAGTGGAGTTGCACATCTCTTTGAGGAGACAAGGAAGCGGGTTTTATGCCATCCATGGCCTGGAGGGACAGCTTTCTCTTGTCATTTTTATTCTTCCACTGGCTGAGGAGTTGCTTAGATCTGGTTGAATCCATTGAGGTATGGATAGAGGCATGACGCCTTGGAATGCGACATCCCTCCAATGATGAGCCACCATGGGACCTGGAGGCGTACGCAAAACAACCTTGTATATGTATATATAAACTAGGAACTAAAGCAGCAATCAAAGATGAATGATGAACGCAGAGTATGATTCTTGAACTCGCCAAGTACTGTCTTCCGAAGAACATACGCGATAATGCTCTTCCTAAGAACGCGAGTCTCTTTCTAAATTGAAATGGACTTCTCCCCACGACTCTCATGTACTGTGTTTCGCACGAAATGCAACCGGTGCATCTTTGATTTAAGCTAACTGACAATAACAAACTTGGGTATTCTATGCATACTTGTTTTATGCCCATTTTCTATTGGAACAAAATATTTGGTTTATGCGTATTTTCAATTGGAACAGGCTAATTGGTTAATACATATTTTCAATTGGAACAGGATAATTGGCTAATGAGTATTTTCAATTGGAACTCTTCCTAAGAACGCGAGTCTCTTTCTAAATTGAAATGGACTTCTCCCCACGACTCTCATGTACTGTGTTTCGCACGAAATGCAACCGGTGCATCTTTGATTCAAGCTAACTGACAATAACAAACTTGGGTATTCTATGCATACTTGTTATGATAATTGGTTAATGCGTATTTTCAATAGGAACAGTACTTGGGCCGCGACTGGACAAGGATAAGACATAAGAAAGCAAATTGAGAAATGCTAAGGACTCTCTGTAGCATGAAAAAAGGTCACTCTAACAGACATGGGCTGGCTCAAAATGTGGCAGGATACAAGACGGTCTGACAAAGGATAGCAGTATATGCAGACTACTGATACCAAAGAATGGGACAGAAAATCACCACAATGAAGAGACACAATGGCAGGAATCAAACATTATGTAAATAAGAGGAAACAATTACGATAATGTAAAATATGATATGACAACATGGACAACGACAGGACTAAAAAACATAATTTGCCATAAATGACGAGACATGACACTGCAGCACTTAAAACAAATCAAATCTCAACCTAGTAAATACATATGCAAGTATATCTAACGAGGATCTTAATTTGAATTACTAACACCGATTTATAATATATCATTTATCATTTTTATCATAAAAAAATTCAACAGATTTATACAATCTACAACTTTCAACTTCGAAAACAACTTTCAGCTACAACATCAACTTCTGTTTCAACATTCAGCTCAGTTTTTTTCAGCCTCAAATTCACTCCACTTAATTCAACTTTACCAAGTGTAAATACGGCATGAAAATGTCACTTTCAGGTCACTAAACCAGCCCAAAGCTTGCAAGAAAGCAACTAAAGTGGGCTATTATTCATTTTAAACTCCCTTGGTCATGTGCACTGACCAGGTTGATGGATGATTGTATAATCCAGAAAATATTAATCGAATGTGTATATTACAGTGTGGAAAGGGCAAGTCGGGTGTGGTATCAAAAGGCCTGGATCATGCTAGTTTCAGCTTTACACAGTTAACTATAGTCCTATAAATTATTATATATTGTCATCCTCTTAAAATAATGGCCTAAGTCAAATTTTGACTTTTTTTTTTTTTTTTGCCTTCAAAATCTGCTCAGGATGCTGGCCAACTTTGCTAAAATTGGTTGCCTCCGTAATTAAACAGATAATTAAATTCTAGGCCATTTTTTGTGTTTTCTGAAAAAATGTGTAAAAATCACCAATTATTTTAAGGTGACGACGGTACCTTTGGCACAATGGCGATCTAGTGCTACAATGCTCATCTTGCCTTCTTAGTGGTTAAATCAGGTTTAAGGTTTCTTTTTTTTTTCAGACAATGGTCTTTTTTAGTGAAGAGAAAAACTCATACCTATCTGACAGTTTCAGCTGTCACTTCAGCCTTCGTTGGAGCTGTCACTGCTTCCTTGTGACATGTCTTAAAAACAAGGAAGAAGTGACACCTCCGACAAAGGCTAAAGTGACAGCCAAAACAGTCTGCTACATAAGAATTTTTCTCTTCACTCAAAAGATCATTGTCTGGAAAAAAAAGAAGCCTTAAACCTAATCTAACAATGGCGATGTAATTTCTTATGAAGTATGTTGTTTTGGTGGCCATTTTTCTAACTCAGAATTAAGGCACCTGGCTCACTAAAACCTGCCTCTCCTCGTGAGGCTGCCGCGACCCTTTCATGACGTCCTAAAGCTGGCTACTGCACTCACCACCCACCAAATAGCAAATAGTAATGAAGTCGTATAAGTATATATGTGCTGTATAAGATTGAGGACCCAATCCTTTTTTGGGATTGGACGGAGCTGGTGCTTAGACAGCAGGAATGAGCAAGAATGCTGAGACATGGGTTAACGGAGGAAAACATTACTTTGGAGGTGTTTTGGGTGAGGAATTATTTTAACATATTTAAAATCTAAACCCCCCAAAAATGTTCATTTTGCATTCTACAGGCCCTTTAATACATACTTAAATAAGACTGGACTTGTGTCAAGAATTTGATTACAGAGAGGTCAAGATGATAATTGACTTAAGAGCGCAAAGAAACAAAAAGATGATCCAACGCAATGGGTGCTAACCTGCTGTTAAACACTATCTAAGAATATGACGATGAAAAAGAAGATACACGGGCATCTTAAAAGTTTTTGTCTAATGCCATTTCAAAGATGAAGAATAAGAAGATGAGTAGAAAAACATTTTATTAACAAAAATACATGACGAGAAAACTACAAAGTCAAACTTATTCAGCGAAGGATAGCACAGAAACAGCAATGTTAAACAACAGGATTAAATAAGACTGGACTTGTGTCAAGAATTTGATTATAGAGAGGTCAAGATGATAAATGACTTAAGAGCGCAAAGAAACAAAAAGATGCCGGTAATCTAACGCAATGGGTGCTAACCTGCTGTTAAACACTATCTAAGAATATGACGATGAAAAAGAAGATACACGGGCATCTTAAAAGTTTTTGTCTAATGCCATTTCAAAGATGAAGAATAAGAAGATGAGTAGAAAAACATTTTATTAACAAAAATACATGACGAGAAAACTACAAAGTCAAACTTATTCAGCGAAGGATAGCACAGAAACAGCAATGTTAAACAACAGGAGACAGAGATGCCACGTTGGGGAGTTTTTATATTTGCATTTGTATCTGTGAAATTCATTAATGGGCATTCTCTGGTTCGTTACACACTAAATTTGAGAAATAGCGACACCTACTTTGGCTGCCTCCTGGACAAATTATTGTATTTTTGCTGCAGGTGTTTTCCACCAACCTCAAATCAACGGCCTTGGTATTCTTCTGAGAATCTGTGGACGATTTTGGTTTTTCTCTTCGGTAATCAGTGGCGGTCCCTCAGGGCCAGCAAGGCCTTCTCTGCTGGCCTAAACATTCTCAGAAAAGTACTTTTCTGAGAATGTTTAGGCCAGCAGAGAAGGCCTTGCTGGCCCTGAGGGACCGCCACTGATTACCGAAGAGAAAAACCAAAATCGTCCACAGATTCTCAGAAGAATACCAAGGCCGTTGATTTGAGGTTGGATGAAA